TTTTTACTCTTGGCAATACTTTTCTAGTCTTAGTCTCGTTTCAAGACTTTTTAGTCTTCTTGTCTTTAGCAATAACCATTCTAGTTCAATATATTACCATCTTTGAATGATTTTCTAGTCTTTTCGAGTGACACAAGAGTGTATTGAGATTTTTTTCTCTTGAAATTTATATCATTAACATCTAGCTACTACAACATCAATTTGGTTGTATATGACTTTAGAGCAATATCATGATGGTGTTCATCTCTAAATAAATATATGTTGTTATCTTATTTTAATAAAAAAGCTTCTTTTGAGTTAATAAAGACACTTGAGACTATATTGCTTGTGTATTTATATTTTACTTAGATTACATTTATATTTTTATTTTTGGTATTTAAGTTATTATATATTTATATATATATATATATATTTTATTTTTATGATAACTATCATAAGATATAGCATTGAGTGCCAAATTGTATTGGATAAAGACAATCTAATTTTGTTTAGTGGATCTTCATATACTTATGAATTTCGATTAGTTAACTTTATTTATATTAATTAGGATTTGAAGACTTAAGTAGAATTTTTTTCTTAATTTAATATTCTTACCAAATCAATTATTATAAGTAGATTTGAAAATAATAATTTTTTTATTTTAAGGTTTTTTTATAATATGATGATTAATCTTTTAATAAATATTTTAGGATTTTCTCTATATACACTTGTACTCTTATAGTTTATAGATTTCTCTTTTATAATGTTAGAGATAGCTTAAATTAATGATATTAAGATTTTCTATCTTTTCTTCAAAGTGTCTTGCTCATGTATTTGTATTTGGTTTAGATTTTATTTTTTATTTTAATTTTTAGTACTCAATTTATTGTGTTTGATAATCTTTACTTGTATAATAAAAAAATGAGGCACAATTATATGCTCTTTAAATATATTACATTTTCTAGCCGCAAGACATTTTGAATCCAATAAGACTTTAGAATTAATATGAAATGATTTTTAGTGGTTTCAAATATGGAAGAAAATTAAAATTTTTACAATCATGTGATATTTTTTTAAGATTAAAAAATCATTGTTATTGGCCTTATAGACTTCTTCAACTATTATTTATATTAAATCAACTATGGTCTTTTATTTTATAGGACTTTATCATAAATCTTCTAATTTCAAGTTTTTATGATTCTAAATTTTTGATAATAGACCTTTTGTATCAAAAAAGGATATTTTGTATCATATGTAAAATCTATTACAAGTAAAAAGAAAATCTAAATTTTTTCTTGATAATATTTATTGCTGTTATGGATAGTCAAGAAATATTATTTGTATAAAGATTTTGAAAAATACTTTTCAAGTTTTTGAAAGTGGACACAATATTATCTTTTTATTTCTATCTTCAAATTGATGAATAAACAGAATGGATAAATTAATTTTTGCAATAATATTTGAAGTATACCATTAACTACTATCAAGATGATTGGACTATTCTTTTTTTATTAGCAAAATTTTCTTATAATAATAAAATATATTTTTTTATTTAAAAAATACTTTTGAACTTTTAAAAGTTGATAATCTTATAATAAAGGATTTTGCAAATTTTTTATTAGAGCTATGTATAATAATAAATGCACAATTAAAAGATACTCAAGAACAAAAAAAAATCAATATATATGCATATCATATAGAATAACCTGTATTTTAAGTTGGAAATAAAGTATACTTCCTTTGTTGTAATATCAAGACTATTTATTTTTATAAAAAATTAGATTATTGTAGATTTAATTTATTTTTTATTTGTAAAAAAATCAATTTAGTTGTATATTGATTATACAAACTAGAATCTATGAAGATCCATCCAATATTCAACGTGTCATTTTTTGAGCCATATATTACAATAGATATATTGAGAAGTGGACAAATGTCACATGATCCTATAGAAATGAATAATAATCAAGTGTTTGAGATAGATGAAGTCTTAGACTCAAGGAAATACTAAAATATGTTAGAATAACTTATACATTAATATAGATATAATATTAGTGAATTCACATTGAAATCAATCAAAAATCTTATAAATATAATAAAGAAGATGGATGCTTTTTGTTGATGATATTTATTAAACTAAAATAAAAAGTCAAATAATTCTTTGCTATAAAGCAAATAAGATTCAATAAATATTCTATTTTATCTTGAATCATTATTTTTTTTTTTTGTGTATTTGTAGAACTTAAAAGATTAAAAATTAACAAGCAACAAATTCAACACTAGAGGTATGGTTTGTTTGGTTTATAAACAATTCATTGAGATTGTCATAATTTTTTAAAATTAATGTTTTAGAAATGAAGATCCTCAAGATTAACAAGTTTTATCTCAAATAGATTGTAAGATATAATGTTTGCTATTATAACTGTAGAAGAGACTCTCAATATTTAATAATATTATTGAAGGTAAGAATTATTTTTTATGATAATTCAAATGTTTTATTTGAAAGAAGTTATGATAAAATAATAAGGTGGACTTTCTATCATAATATGAAATACTATTGATAGTCGAGAGGACCTAACAACTACCTTCAAAGGAAACAAAGATTAGAATGTGTTGCAAATAAAATTCTTAGACCTTATTAATATATGATTACTATTCTTTTTAAAATTTGTCTTTGAAAGAAAGGATAATATTACAAAAATATCTCATATTTGTATTTATTTAGATAAAAGAATTAGATAGAAGTAAATAAAAGTAGATAAATTTGATTTTATCTTATAGAAAAATTTCTTAAAAGCTTCATAGATATAGATTTGATTGTTATACATGTCTATAAGTAATTATTAGGTTAAAAATTTGGTCAAAAAGTTGGCCATGTATCATATATGTTAGCCACTTATAATACAAATTAGCTATGTGACACATATATAATTAACTTTTCTTATAAGTTAGATATGTATTTTACAAGTTAGACATGTGTTGAAAGTTCTATAGAATGTTGCCATATAACTCTTAGTTAGATAGTATATATAAATGTAAGTGTGAGGCCTTCTTCACTCTTATTAATGCCTTTTCTTGTCCTTAATCTTGTTTCAAGAGTCTCTAGGCTTCTTATATTTGGTATTAGTTATTCTAGTTTTAATATTATACTATTTTTAAATGATTATCTATTTTTTTTTAGTATTGCAAGAGTATATTGACTTTTTGATTGTTTGTAATTTATGCCTTTGATATTTGGTTAAAGTAATTTAAGATTCAATTAAAATTTGATTAAAATTTGATAAAAATTGATTAATATTTTATTAGAATTTGATTAAGATTAAATTAAAATTTTATTAGAATTAACTAGAATGTGATAAAATTTTGATTAGGATTTAATTAGGATTTGGCTATAATTTAATTAAGATTTGTTATGATTTTTTAAATATTTTTTAAAGATTTTAATAGGATTTGGTTAAGATTGTTTATAATCTATAAAGATTTGATTAAAATTCTTTTAGAATTAAATTTTAATTCGATTAAAATTACATGGATTTTTTAAATATTTTATTAGAATTTGATTAGGATTTGATTAAGATTTAATTAAATTTTTGTTAGAACTTATCTAGAATTTTATTAGAATTTGATAAGATTTGATTAGGATTTTATTTGAGTTTGTTTATGATTTAATTAAAAATTGTTAAAAATTATTTAGGATATATTTGGAATTAATTAGAGTGTGATAAGATATATCTTGGATTTTTCTAAGATTGATAGGATACACTTAGGATATTTGAAAACTTACTTAGATTATTCAAGGTTACAAAAAGATGTTTCTAAACATCTTATGCATTGATTTGGGTTGTAAATTAAACTTAAAAATAAGATCAAATCCTTCCACAATCAGATTTATCTTGTGCATTTGCAGGTTAGTTTTTTCATAATACAACAATGTATAGAAATTTAGATTGTGAGAATAAAAGTTTGAGATGTGCTTAGAGCATGAGCCATAACATAACATAGACATTTATCTTCTCAATTTAGATAAAAAAATTAAAAAATTAAAAAATTAAAAAAATATATATAAAAAATAAAACTATTGAAAAGTTTAATATTATATAAATTTTAAAAATTTAAGAATTATATATATATATATATATATATATATATATATTACTTCAATTAAAAATAAAAAATTAATAGAATGTATGAGGTCGTTGATTAAAGAAGCATAAAACAACCATTTAGAAGGTTTTATAGCATAAATAATCTCACTTCTATTCTCTATTGTATAAAAAAAATGAAATGATGTATTTATTTGTGTTGTTAAATAAGACATAGTAAAGATATCATTAACACAAAAGGATCTCTAAAAATATTGAGTTAAGAGGTGCAAAAGAGACTTAAAGTAAAAATTATTTTTTTATTTAAACTTTGGTTTCTTTTGTACCTCTTAATTCAATTTCTAAATATTATTTTACATAAAAAAATATGTATTCATCTTTGAAAACTATGTGGAAGTGCATATATTAAAAAATATCTTAATTTAAAATAAAAAATTGCATCATTTCTAATAGAAACAAAAGCTTAAATTAGAAAATAAAAAATATACCTTTCATGCTATAATATGGAAGTCAAAAAAATAAATTAAAGTGAAATTAATTCCTATATAAATTGAATGTTTCATAATTTTCTTTTAGTAAATAGAGTCAATGGTTTTAAAGGTTCAAATTTAGACACACCACTTTGAGAATTTTCGAACAAGTATATGATAACATATGAAAAATCCAACGAACAGCTCACACGAAAACCGGATTTTAATCCCATACGGACCAACCTGCAATGCAAAAGTGTATTCATTCTCCCTCTCACTGGATGATGATGGAACAACATTTCATCCCACTATTCCGAGACTGAAACTGTTCTATAAAATAATGAATGAAGAAAGACATGATGAATGAATTCCGAGTGGGACAACGTTCATCCTGGCTGGCTACGTGTGGACTCGCGGAAGTGCTTGCTCACTGGCTTCTACTTCGAGAGGATTTCTCGCTCGCCACTGGGCATTCTTCAGCAGGAGAATAAGAATGCGAATAATGCGAATAATGCATGGGAAGGTAGGCGAGGAGCACTATGGATTTGAGTTTTCGGGGATATTTCAGCAGTTGGGGTTGATCGAAGCGAGGCCTGAGTGGAAAGGAGGAGAAAGAAGGAGAGACGACGCCCATGGACGTGAAAGCTGCTGGCTCAGTGGCGCAGGACCAGTTTTCCAAGCATGCAGGTCGAAGGAAAGTTATTATCGACACGGATCCCGGCATTGGCATGTTCTTTCAACAATCCCCCTCCTCCTTGTTGATGATGCAGAATTATTTTGTGCGGAGCAAGTAATGTGCGTTGTTGTTGTTGTTGTTGTTATTTATTTATCTATTTATTTATTTTGGGTTGAGGTATTGGAACCAAGCGTTCGAGCGTAGGGGTTGTCCTGGATGGTTGTTGTTTAATGACGCGTAATTCGGTTTGTTGAGTGTATACATGTTGTGTTCTGGGGGTTCCCTGTTGCTCCAAAGAACATCCCTAGGCATTACCTTCATGTCCTCGAGTTTTTATGCTTTGAGCACTCTGTGTGTCGGATCCAAATCCAAATTTAGTGGTGATTTTGTTGCTCTGGTAGTCTCATCTTCATGCAATTTTTTATTTATTTTTATTTATTTTTATTTATTTTTATTTATTTTCCTTTTTCCTTTGAGTCAGTCAGACCGATCGAATTTTAGCTGCAAAATTTAGAATCTGGCAGCACATGGTTGCCATGAATGTGGGCCAACTCTAAGAAAATGTGTGGCCTATCGAAAATTGGGTGTCATCCGTTTCTTCATTCTTCTGAACGCTACAGCTGGCATTGATTATTTCTTTAGCTTGGAGAGCAATTTTCAGAGCTTAGAATTGTCTGCTCAAATTAGCTGCAATTCTGAATCTTGCATGGCCTAATTGGGGTAGTCAATCTTCTAAGGGCGTAGGGGATAGCGATTTCTTTTTTTCTTTTTGGTGGGATTTATTTTTCTTCGTCAACTGTCTGCCGTCATTCTTCACATCGGACTCCAATTCTCAAGCGAGTTAGGCTATCTATCATCATTTTGGAGTAAGCATATTTGCTGCTTCACTTCATCGAATTCATGAGGTGCCGGATTAAAGAGGTAGCATTATCAACCTCCAACTGGCATGTTAAATAACATCGACTGCCTGTTAACATCGTGGACTCATGGTTGTCCTCAAGATGCTCATCAAGCTAGTTTGTCAATGTCAAATCCTTTTTTATTTATTTTTTATTTATTTTTTTAATACAACCAGGCAGTCCAATGCAGAACTTTTGAAGAATTAATGCATGAAGTCCCGATTACAAATATGCTACTGAGTAGCAAGTATAATTTTGACATAATAATATTGAAGATTCTTCAAGAGATACAGCTTGCCTCTTTTTTATTTGAGAGAGAGCAAGCGACCGCGCTGTGTGTCTCTGCAATTGCCTTCTGAGGGATCGACATCTGATTTTTTAGATGTTATCAGCTCCAGCACTTCGGTTACTTGATAATAATGGCTTACGCTTGCCGCATACACAAACTTCAGGCGCTATTTGATTGCTGGAGTTTTTATTTATTATTTATTTTATTTTTATTGACACTTTATTTTATTTCATTTTTGTTTCGTAATTTAACTTCCCTTATGAAACGTGATAGTACTTTGATGAGCAGATGATATGATGGCAATTTTAATGGCTTTTCAAGCCCCTGAAATTGAAGTTATAGGACTCACCACCATTTTTGGCAACGTAAACACCGATTTAGCGACAATCAACGCCCTCCATCTGGTGATTATGTACTCATTATTCAAGTTCATATTTATGGAGACCATTGTGAACATACCATAGTTACTCACATTACATCTAGAATGAGCTAACTTTGTGTATTGTGTTGAGCGTAGAATACATTTGTTTCTGTTTTTGAAATTTTCTTAGATTAATACCATTGTTTGAAAATTACTTTGCAACATTGAGTGACAATCAGCTTGCACAATATTTTGGAACTTCGAAAATTTGAAATTTTGAAATTTATTATTGAGAGCTTTGGAATCAGACTTTTCATAGGCTGTGCCAACTACCTCGCAAATCTTCTCTTCGTAAGCTTACAATGACTTTGCGTTCATTAGTGCGAGATGGCAGGTCATCCGGAGATACCGGTTGCGGAAGGCCCATCAGAACCATTAAAGGTTTTCTCACGAATCTTTCTGCCGCTTTCAACTATGTTCAGAATGTGTATTCTTAGGGCCTAATCCACTGCTTAAGACGACTAGGACAGTGGAGGTTTTGAATTCTTGTCTTTCTTTGTTTTAGCAGTTATTTTAGAAGTTTTATTTGACCTCTGCATTTCACAAGTAAAAGTCGAAGGACAAACTGAAAGCAATATTGATGCATTTCATATGGATTGGCTATACTGCATCATTATGTTCCAAGAGTGATATTGCATGTTTTCAAATTAATTTGTAGTATCATTTGGAAATCATTTTTTCGAATGAAATGGAGACTTCCTTATGAGTAATGAGAGTCTTAGGTGTGTCCGATTATCCATAACTACATGCTTGTGAATTTGATGCTGATAAGTGTTGTCGTACTTGCATGAACTTATCACGTTTTAACTCTTAAACAGCGGGTGAAGCCTCGAATTGCGTATTTTGAACACGGATCAGATGGACTTGGAGAAACTTACCAAGCCAAACCTAACTTCCAAAAGTTATCTAAAGATGCAGCAGACTTTCTTATTGAGAATGTAACTGAATTCCCAGGCGAAGTAACCGTGGTTGGTCTGGGCCCCCTCACCAATCTTGCACTGGTTAGTGAGTACGTTTGCTTCACTCGTTTGTTCACACTTTAAAAATTTTAGATGTGAAATTTCATGGTAGGTTGTGATTTATTCCAATTCTGTCATCTCACGGATATCCACTTTGCAGGCTATTCAAAAGGACTCAAACTTTGCCAAAAATGTTGGGCAACTGGTAGTCCTTGGGGGTTCATTCAATGCCAGTGGAAATGTGAATCCCGCCGCAGAAGCTAATGTAAGTTTGAAAAGGCAAAAATCTCATTCGAGAAACGTAAGAGAATCGAACTTCTTTTTACATATTGGTGATTTGTTTGCTTACCTTTGCAAGGTTTTGAGTTTTATATCTATAAGCTGGTCAAAATTAATATCCTCCAGTGAGTGGCGAGACATTTTTATTTGTATTCACGGGGGATGTACATGATTGGTTTGCAGCTATTTGGCGATCCCGAAGCTGCAGACATCGTATTCACTAGTGGAATGAACACTCTTGCAATAGGCATAGACTTGACCACTCAGGTGATTTTTAATGGTACGCTCTCTTCTGGTCCTCTCTGGCGCCGTCTCCTATTGCTTTGTTGAATGTCAAGTGTTCGCCCGAAGATTTTTCGACTTTTATAAACTGGGCTTCTTGACCTGCACACTGCATTTGATTGTTTGGCAGACAATTCAGCAATTTGCATTGAAATTACAGTACGCAAGGGCAGTCTTGATATACTTTTCTTTTACAAGATTTTTTGGTCCTTTCTGCAGAAGATGACTTGTGTGAAATAAGGGATTCTGGTGGAGATTACGGCAAATATATCTATGACTGTTGTCGCTTTTATCACGATTGGCATTTATCGTCTGATCATTTGGATGGTATGCTCTGGTCTCCTTTGGAGGAACCTTGCCACAATTCTCTTTCTGTATGTGTTTTAAAATGCCTTGTACCTTGAGCTTTACGAAGCACGATTCTTTGATTAGCAAGGGCAGTGGTGCATGTTTTCGTACAGGGAGGGTTTTCTCCATTATTGGTTCTCTCATTTTTTTTGTTTTTGAGAGAATTGGTGCACACTGACGAACGTTAGATATAAGTTATGGGCCTGACCTACTTGCCCATGGTTACAGGGATTTTTCTTCACGATCCTACATGCATGGCAGCACTGCTTGACCCAACTCTTTTTACCTTTAAAAACGGAGCTGTGCGAGTTGAAACTGAGGGGCCTTGCTTGGGCCACACTATCCTAGGTATGGGACTGAAAAAGTACGTAAATATTCACACCCTATGTCTCGCTCAGTTACCCAGTAAACTGTACTTGCTATCTAGCAGCTTGAGATGCATTGAGGAGCACCTCTTGCTCTACCAAACATTTATCTCAGTTCCAAGTGCATATCAAAGCATCTACATTACTTGTTCAGAAACTAATCAGTGGCTTTGTTCTTCAAAATTTGAAATTGAGGACGCTCACTACCGGGTACTAAATTTCATTGCTACATAGTTGGGTGAAGGAAACTTCCTGGACAGGCGTGCCCCCTATTGACGTTGCAATTACAGTTGATGCTGATGGCGTTCGAAACCTTGTCAAGAAACTCCTTTGCAGCTCTCGACTGAAATGACTGATTCCTTCTATACCTGCTGTTGCTTAAGATGGAGGAGATGGCAGCATTAGAGGATATGCCGCAACAGTTCCTCTCCACCACATCAGAGCTTGAGAGTATGCACACCTACGAGTTCAACATATCAATCTTGGACGTTGTGTTTTTCTGTCATCAAAGATTCTTCTGCGGGCTGTCACTGAAGAGATAATCAGGTGCTAGGAGACCACATGTCTGAATTGCTAGTGATTTTCATACACTAGATACAATGTGTCCTGTCCTAGGTCCATTGGGGAACCTCTTATTCTAAGCCTTGTGTAAACTACATCAACCGAGTTTCATTTGAAGCCACAAATTTTACTAATCTCACATTCTCCACTTTATGTTTTTGGTCTGAATTGTTAAGGTAGATTTCAGTTTAGTTTGGTAAAATATGATAAGAGAAGGAATATATATCTTAAAGTATCAATCATGAACATAAAATGTTAAGATGTCTCAAGTTTTCAACATAATTGGAAAAAAAAGTTGATAATTTAATCTTTTAATTAGCATATTGTCATGTTTGTTCTTATTTGATTCTAACAGATTCAACTATTAACTATGTTGTAGTGATGGTCACATTCTTGGAATTAAAAAAAAAATTAAATTAAATTAAATACAAAAAAAAAAAAAACAAAACAAAACAAAACAAAAAACAAATAGAGACAAAGTTTTTTTTGTCTATAGGTATTTACGAAAAGAATAGAAAAAAATTGTGTTTTAAATTACTAAGGTTTTAGAACAAAAAGAATAAAAAAATAAAAAAATAAAAAACTCCTTATTAATCTTTTCTACTACAAGTAGCAAATGTAAATTATCTCAAACTTGTTTTATAAATTTGATATGTTTTGTACAAATTCAATATGTGTTAGAGGTCCTATAGAACATTGCTATATAGCTTTTAGTTAAATAGTATAAATGGGGGCAAGAATGAAGCCATCTTCATTCTTATCAATGCCTTTTTTATCCTTAGTTTTATTTCAAGAGACTCTAGTTTTCTTATCTTTAGGTATAGCCATTCTAATTTAATATTCTACCATCTTTGAGTGATTATCTATTCTTTTTGAATGACACAAGAATATATTGATCTTTTGATTTTTTGAAATTCATGTCCTTCACAGTTTGATAAGAGTACTAACTCATCGTTTGTGTTTTGTTTTATCAATGAATGGATTACTTGATTTCTATTGTCATGTTTTGGCAGTTGTGGACTATCCATCTTTAAACTAATATTTAATTTTCTAACAATTTTTTTTTCTTTATAAAAAAAAATTTATCACTCTTTGGGAAAACTTTCAGTTGGTATTAGAAGTTTTGGATTATCTTCTTTTAATTTGATTTGTGGATTGGTTTATTGTCTATAGAAGGAAAATTAAAGATATTATTTTTGACGAAAGTAAAATAGATTTGTAACTATTGTAGATCTTCATGAGCTTCTTAATACTCTTAGGATAGAAATCTCTTATATTTTTAACACCAATCATAGAGGTACTATTCCTATGCTTATGAAAGAATTTAACAATGAAGTTCAAAATTTATTCTAAAAAATTGTGCAATTGAGAGAAGTAAGTAGATCAAGTTCACAATTGAATCCAAGAAGTTTTCTTACTACAAATATGAGTGACATAAGGTTAAGTATAGCAAGAAATTTTGATAGAATAGGATCAAAATTTTGAAGATTTTTATAATAAATGAAGCTTTATTTAAGCTTGCATCCTTCTCAATACTTTGATAATTTTACTTAAGTTGGATTCATAGGTACACTACTATTTGGGAGTATTTTTTCTTAGTTTTTACCTTTGATAGAAAATAATTTACAACTCATTTATGATCTAAACTCATTCTTAAAAATGTTTATGGCTATATTAAAAAAAATTAATTAAAAAAGAATACTAGAGACCAAATTCCTATTTTTATAATGAGCATCATGTTTATTCACCATGTATATTGCTTAATTCAAAAAACTTACTTATACTATGGATTGGAATGACAAAGCCGTTATCAATCAATTTCAATATGAGTTAAAAGATAATATCAAAAATTTATTATTGACAATGCCAAAAGTAGATTCATTGAAATAATTTATTACTCAAGCCATTGCATGCAACAATTGGTTCTTTGAAAGATGCCAAGAAACAAGGTTTGTTTGAAGAGGTACAAATCAAGTCATGGCAACAACTTCTAAGTTTTCAGAAGCTTATTCATTAAGTCCAAAACCTATGCAAATTAACATAATATGTTTCAAATTTTTTATTGAAAAAAAAAATTGATGTTGTCAAAAAGATTTGTGCTTATATTGTAGAAAACCTAAGTTTATTAATCAAAATTTTCCAAAATAAAATACAATCATAAAATAAAAAACATAATTGCCAAAGAAGACAATGTATCAAAAAATAAGTTTTTTTAACTACAATAGAAATTGTATTGTTAAAATCTTATATAATACCTAATAAAAGTTCTATTTTCTTTTTTGATCTTTTACTTTGTTTTGCAATAAATTTTTGTTTACAACCAAAAAATCACAAAGTCTTTATCTTATTAGATTTAAGAGCTTCAATTTATTTTATAAACAAAGATTTTGTTAAAAAATAAGAAATAACCTTAGTAAAGAAAACTAAATCCATGTATGTAGAAATCATAGGTAGTTGTTATTGTCTTTTGAAGATATTACCTATAAAACTATTTCTTAAGATGTAGCAATTAAAGGTCATAATAGCTTAGTAATATTTAATGTGATTAGAATTGCCTCCAATCTAGTTATTTTAGAATTATTATAGATAAGAAAATATAATTTTAAAATTAATTAGATTTCTTGTGATCTTAATTCTTCTTATAATTTAAACCAAAATTATATTATTTAAATAAAAATCCATATGCAACAAAATCCTTATTTATAAATACAAGAGCTTATATGCATGGTGTAAAAGAAGAGTCATCTTTTGCTATATATGCTACATCTATTTCTGATAGTGGAAATACTACAAGTGACATTTTAAGTCAATACCATGATTATCAAGACATTTTTTTTAGAAGAATAAAATATATAATTTTTCAAAACATTGCTCTCATGATTGTTTAATTGAGCTTCAAAAAAGAAGTCAACTACCATTTGAACCAATCTATAGCTTATTGTAAAATAAGTTGATTACACTCAAGGAATATATTGACAAGAACTTGATTAAGAATTTCATATGTCATTCTAAATTTATAGCAAAAGCTCTTATTTTATTTGTGAAGAAAAAAGATGGATCTTTGCGGATATGAATGAATTATCAAGGACTTAACAAGATTTCCATTAAGAACAAATATCAGTTATTTTTGATTTAAAGAATTTTTGATCAATTTAATGCAACAAAGATGTATAAAAAAATAGATCTATGAAGAACGTACAATCTAGTATATATCTAAAAAAGAGATAAATAAAAAAATAAAATTTTGAATCAGATATAGATATTTCAAATATAATATCATACCTTTTGAACTCACAAATACCCATTTGCTTTTCACATTTAATTAATGATTTTTTTGTGAGTTTCTTTATGATTTTGTTTTATGTTATTTAAAAAACATTTTAAATATAAAAGAAAATGAATTTTGTATTTATTGTGTATTACAAAAATTTAGAGATGCAAGATTGCCAACATAAAAAAGTGTTTATTTCATACTATTCAAGTTGATTTCTTAAGATATATTATTTCAAATAATGGCCTTATGATAGATCCTAAGAAGGTCCAAACTATCATGGATTGGAAGATTCTAAGAATAATAAAAAATATTTAATATTTTTTGAGATTTGTCAATTAATACTGAATCTTCATCAAGAACTTTTTTGAAGTTGTAGCTCCACTCGTACATTTGACTTCTAAAAACAAACTTGAGTGGGACAAAAAAGTTGAAGTGTTGTTTAAAACTTTGAAGACATCATTTATGTTTGAACTAATCTTATATTGTATTGACTTTTTTAAAGCATTTTTTATAAAAAAAAATACATTAAGCTTTGCCCTAAGTGTAATATTGTCATAAATGAGATCACATGACATACTCCACCTAGTAGATTTCTATTTTAGAAATTTTTTAATAGTCAAGTTTATGTATAAGATTGACAAAAAAGAATTTTTTGTAATCATGGATTCATTTTAAGAATAACATCGTTATCTAAAATATGCTATCATAATATAACAAAATTAATGAATGAAAGAGAGAAAAAAAAGTTATATTATAGACGTTCTTATTTTAAAATATTATAGAAAATCATCTTAGAAAATAGATAATAGACAAAAAAATAATAAAACTAAAGAATACTATTGATGCTTTTGAACAAAATATGCTTCTACTTACTTTATAGGACCATAAATAAAGTAAAAAAAAGTATATTAGAAAATTAAATAATAAAGGTATATATAGGAGGGAATTAAGAGTAGATTTTAGCAAAATTTGTCTCAAGAAGCCAAGAATTGATACTTAGAGAGGATTGGTTAACAATCAAGATTGAAATCAGACCTTGAGGCACAAAATTGCACACCTACAATGACTTTAGGGTTTCTTTGGTAGATTAAAGAGTGGATTTTGAGAGCAGACTTACAAAAATATTTTTAAGCATTGGTTTATGTTAATTGAATTAATATTCAATTTTGGAAGAATTTTCAAAGTTAATAATATTCTTGGTTGGTTTAGATTTTGAGAAATAAAACTATGTTTATACATTTGAGGGTTTCTTGAGTTTTTTGGTATGTATACAAATAAATTTTGGATAGAATATTATTGTATTAGTTGTAAATATGTATGCAAATTTTGAAGTCAATCAAACAATCAAATCAAAGTGTAAAGATTTTTGTGGATTGAGATCTCAGAAATTGGAGTTTGATGGTCCATGAGTATTTTTAAGATCTTTTGCAATTTATTAATTGGATTGAAGTGGAAGTTCTTTATATGAAGACTAGACTTGATTTCTAATAGTTTAAGTAAATTTTAGAAGAAATTAAATAGTTCAAAAAGAAGATATTGATATTGGAAGTTTAACATTTAGATTGGAATAGGAGGTCGGCCAATACCCAAGTGGATTTTTAGGATTTTTCTTCTATTTGATAAGTGAAATTATCTTCAAATTTATTGTACTTAATTTTAACTATGAGGTTGATAGGTATATAAATTTTTAAATAATATTTATGGATTAATCAACAGATATTAGAGTTCCAATCAATCTTACAGATGATTTAAGTTAATTAGGTTTTGATTAAGATTTGATTTAAGATTTAGGATTTATTTAGGATTTAGGATTTGTCTACGATTTGGTTTAGGATTTGGGATTTATTTTAGAGTTAGGATTTGGCTAGGATTTG